AGCGTCCGGACCGGAAGGGGGGGGGAAAGCGTCCGGACTGGAAGGGGGGGGGGGGGAAGCGTCCGGACTGGAAAGGGGGGGGGGGGGGGGAAGTGTCCGGACTGGAAGGCGTTAAACATTTTTGGGCCTACAACGTGAGGCCGCAGCCTCTGGAAAGCAACCTGTGTGCTCGCTGGTGTGAGGAAGGTGCACCGAAGTGGCTGGAAACAGGCAGCGGAAGATCCACATCAATCCTCAATGTCTAGATAGACTTTTTGTTTTTTTGATATTTGTTACAATAAATGATTGCACTCGTCACTTTTTTGGTGGAATACTGACGTAGTGATCCGCCTATGTATTTGGTGCATATAAAAAATGTGTTTCTGAATTTTCTGATATTTTTTATTTAATGTATCAATTGACACATATATGAGATATTTAGATATTGCACAAAAGCATTCTATGGGTTTCGTATGAACTGGAAGTTGTGAAGTGCGCTGATGCACTTTGTAGGTGTTGGTGCATCTGTTTGACTATTTGGGGTTAGATCCTCTGCCGGGATGATAATGTCATCTCGGTCCCGGCTGAGACCCCAATGAAGAAGCCCCTATCTGTTTAGCAGGTAACAAGGGTGAGTCATACAGATATAGGAGAACACCTAAAATAAGTGTGTGGGCATAACAGCCAATCAGATTAGTCCGTTCAATATTGACCTGCCCCCTCTACTAGAGCCAAATCAGCGGCACGGTGGCTAAATGGTTAGCACTTTAGCCTGGCAGCACTCAAGTCATGGGTACAAATCCAAAGCACTGCACCACCTGCCTGGAGTTTGCATGTTCTCGCTGTGCCTGCATGGGTTTCCTTCAGGTACTACGGTTTCCTCCTGTGCCTGGCAGTACTAGGGGCCGTTAATTCAAATCCCATCGACAGCACCACCTGCCTGGAGTTTGTATGTTCTCCCTGTGCCTGCATGGGTTTCGTCTGGTTTCGTCCTGTGCCTGGCAGCACTTGAGTCGGTTCAAATCCCATCCACAGCACCACCTGCCTGGAGTTTGCATTTTTTGCCTGTGTGGGTTTCCTTCGGGTACTCCAGTTTCCTCCTGTGCCTGGCAGTACAGGGGTATTTGATTTGAATCCCAACTACTGCACCACCTGCCTGGAGTTTGCATGTTCTCCCTGTGCCTGCGTGGGTTTCCTCCAGCTTCCTCCTGTGCCTGGCAGCACTAGAGTCATTGGTTCAAATCCCATCCACAGCACCACCTGCCTGGAGTTTGCATTTTCTCCCTGTCCCTGCGTGGGTTTCCTTCGGGTGCTCCAGTTTCCTCCTGTGCCTGGCAGCACTAGGGGTCCTTAGTTCAAATCCCAACCACAGCACCACCTGCCTGGAGTTTGAATTTTCTCCCTCTGCCTGCGTGGGTTTCCTTCGGGTACTCCAGTTTCCTCGTGCGCCTGGCTGCACTAGGGGTCCTTGGTTCAAATCCCAACCACTGCAACACCTGCATGTTCTCCCTGTGCCTGCGTGGGTTTCCTTCGGGTACTCCAGTTTCCTTCCGTGCCTGGCAGAACTAGGGGTCGTTGGTTCAAATCCCAACCACTGCACCACCTGCCTGGAGTTTGTATGTTCTCCCTGTGCCTGCGTGGGTTTCCTCCCGTGCCTGACAGCACTAGGTTAGTTGGCTCAAATCCCAACCACAGCACCACCTGCCTGGAGTTTGCATCTTCTCCCTGTGCCTGCGTGGGTTTCCTCCCATGCCTGGCAGCACTAGGGGTCCTTAGTTCAAATCCCAACCACAGCACCACCTGACTGGAGTTTGAATTTTCTCCCTCTGCCTGCGTGGGTTTCCTTGTGTACCTGGCTGCACTAGGGGTATTGGTTCAAATCCCAACCACTGCACCACCTGCATGTTCTCCCTGTGCCTGCGTGGGTTTCCTCCGGGTACTCCGGTTTCCTCCCACACTCCAAAGACATGCTGGTAGGTGAATTGGCTCCTGTCTATATTGTCCCTAGTATGTGTATGTATGAATGTGAGTTAGGGACCTTAGATTGTACGCCCCTTGAGGGTTAGGGACCTTAGATTGTACGCCCCTTGAGGGTTAGGGACCTTAGATTGTACGCCCCTCGAGGGTTAGGGACCTTAGATTGTACGCCCCTCGAGGGTAAGGGACCTTAGATTGTACGCCCCTCGAGGGTTAGGGACCTTAGATTGTACGCCCCTCGAGGGTTAGGGACCTTAGATTGTACGCCCCTCGAGGGTTAGGGACCTTAGATTGTACGCCCCTCGAGGGTTAGGGACCTTAGATTGTACGCCCCTCGAGGGTTAGGGACCTTAGATTGTACGCCCCTCGAGGGTTAGGGACCTTAGATTGTACGCCCCTTGAGGGTTAGGGACCTTAGATTGTACGCTCCTTGAGGTTAGGGACCTTAGATTGTACGCCCCTTGAGGGTTAGGGACCTTAGATTGTACGCCCCTTGAGGGTTAGGGACTGATGTGAATGTACAATATATATGTAAAGCGCTGCATAAATTGACAGCGCTATATAAGTACCTGAAATAAATAAACTTCTGCCCTCCTTTCCTTCGTAATTTGGCACGCTGACCTGTAACTGCAGATCCAGATGTTACTCCTAGATGGCGCTAGATGACAAACGCTGGAATACCTACTTTGTTCTTAAGGGACCTTTCACTATTGTTTCTTTAGCATCAGGCCGCATGCACAAAGGTGCGTTCTAAAAACGCCGCTCCTGCTGGCAGCAGCACTTTGGCAGAATAACGCCTGAGGGTTTAGGAGCATTTACAGGCATCAGGTGCTTGGGGGGAAATTCCTTTCATTGGCCATAATAATCATTTATTCTGGCCCTGAAAATGAATTAACGCTCAGGCGCTAAACGCTCCTCGCATTAATGCACATTTACACACGTCAATCGCTTTTCCGGCCAAAACGCTGCTGCTCCTGGACGCGCTGGCAATGGAGTTTTTTTTTTTTCAGCTCCTAAAAGCTTCTAAACATCTACGTGTGCATGGACCCATAGGGTAACATGGAGGGGTGTTTGGAAGCTGTAAAAAAAAAAAAAAAAAAGGTCTGATGCCCCTAAAAGTGGCTGCAAAATCTCTCTGTGTGAATGAGGCCCCTTTCACATGGGCGTTCCGTATATCTGTCCGTTTACGGATGAAAAAACGGACCCCCATGTATTTCTATGGACTAGCGGATGTAAGCGAAGGATCATCTGTTTACATCCATTAATGTCCACATCCGTTGACATCCGTTTTTTTGAGCGGAAGAAAAGTCTATTTTTCTTTAAAAAAAAAAAAAAAAAAAAAAAAAACGGACAAAAAAACAGATGTAAATGGATGTAAACAGATGAAAAACGGACGGAAACAGATGAAAAACTGATGTAAACTGATGAAAACAGCTGAAAAAGGATGTAAACATGAAAAAACTGATGTAAAGGGATGAAAAATGGATGTAAAGTGATGAAAAACGGATGTAAACTGACAAACGGATGCAAAACGGACGTAAACAGATGAAAAAACTAATGTAAAGGGATGAAAAACTGTTTTTCAGCTGTTTTCATCAGTTTACATTTAGACATAAACAGATGAAAATGGATGTAAACAGATGAAAAACTGATGTAAACTGATGAAAAATTAATGTAAACTGATGAAAAATTAATGTAAACTTATGAAAACAGCTGAAAAAAACGGACACAAACAGATGAAAAAAACTGACGTAAATGGATGTAAACTGACAAACGGATGAAAAAAAACTGCTGATCTACTGGGATTTTCACGCACAGCCATCCCTGGGGTTTACAGAGAATGGTTCCAAAAAGAGAAAATATCCAGTTAGTGGCAGTTGTGTGAAGGAAAATGCCTTGGTGATGTCAGAGGAGAATGGGCAGACTGGTTCCAGATGATAGAAAGGCAACAGAAACTCAGATAACCCCTCGTTACAACCAAGTTATGCAGAATACCATCTCTGAACGCACAACACATCCAACCTTGGAGCAGATGGACTACAGCAGCAGAAGACCACACCGGGTGCCACTCCTGTCAGCTAAGAACAGGAAACAGAGGCAATTCACACAGGCTCACCAACATTGGACAATAGAAGATTGGAAGAACGTTGCCTGGTCTGATGAGTCTGGATTTCAGCTGCAACATTCATATGGTAGGGTCAGAATTTAGTGTAAACAACATGAAAGCATGGATGGATCTATCCTGCCTTGTATCAATGGTTCAGGCTGGTGGTGGTGGTGTCATGGTGTGGTGGATCCATCCTGCCTTGTATCAATGGTTCAGGCTGGTGGTGGTGTCATGGTGTGGTGGATCCATCCTGCCTTGAATCAATGGTCCAGGCTGGTGGTGTCATGGTGTGGTGGATCCATCCTGCCTTGAATCAATGGTCCAGGCTGGTGGTGGTGTCATGGTGTGGTGGATCCATCCTGCCTTGTATCAATGGTTCAAGCTGGTGGTGGTGGTGTCATGGTGAGATTTCCAAGGCACTAACAAGGTGGACCTAGTAAAGTGGCCATTGAGTGTATTCCTAATGTGCCGAGTTGTAAGTCCCTAAAGCCAACTGGAAATTTGTTATTGGCTGATGTGACTTGCCTGATGGAAGATTTGTTGGTGTAGGTTGGTGTTTTTTCCTCATCACTGCTCATTGGACACCCTAAATAGATGCATGTGGTGCCCATTCGGTAGCAGAAACTTCCCAAAAAAATGGAGTCTGCAGCAGGGGCGGACTGACAACTCATGGGGCCCCCAGGCAATAGGGGATCATGGGGCCCCTGTATCCTTGCCCAATGTAAGGGACATTCTTCCCACTGACCCCCAATGTAAGGGACATTCTTCCCACTGATCACCAATGTAAGGAACATTCTTCCCACTGATCCCCAATGTAAGGGACATTCTTCCCACTGATCCCCAATGTAAGGGACATTCTTCCCACTGATCCCCAATGTAAGGGACATTCTTCCCACTGATCCCCAATGTAAGGGACATTCTTCCCGCTGACCCCCAATGTAAGGAGCATTCTTCCCACTGACCCCCAATGTAAGGGACATTCTTCCCGCTGACCCCCAATGTAAGGAGCATTCTTCCCACTGACCCCCAATGTAAGGGACATTCTTCTCACTGATCACCAATGTAAGGAACATTCTTCCCACTGATCACCAATGTAAGGGACATTCTTCCCACTGATCACCAATGTAAGGGACATTCTTCCCACTGACCACCAATGTAAGGGACATTCTTCCCACTGACCCCCAATGTAAGGAACATTCTTCCCACTGACCCCCAATGTAAGGAGCATTCCTCCCACTGACCCCCAATGTAAGGGACATTCTTCCCACTGACCCCCAATGTAAGGAGCATTCTTCCCACTGACCCCCAATGTAAGGAACGTTCTTCCCACTGACCCCCAATGTAAGGAACGTTCTTCCCACTGACCCCCAATGTAAGGAGCATTCTTCCCACTGACCCCCAATGTAAGGGACATTCTTCCCACTGATCATTAATGTAAGGGACATTCTTCCCACTGACCCCCAATGTAAGGAGCATTCTTCCCACTGACCCCCAATGTAAGGAGCATTCCTCCCACTGACCCCCAATGTAAGGGACATTCTTCCCACTGACCCCCAATGTAAGGAGCATTCTTCCCACTGACCCCCAATGTAAGGAGCATTCTTCCCACTGACCCCCAATGTAAGGAACGTTCTTCCCACTGATCATTAATGTAAGGGACATTCTTCCCACTGACCCCCAATGTAAGGGACATTCTTCCCACTGATCATTAATGTAAGGGACATTCTTCCCACTGACCCCCAATGTAAGGAGCATTCTTCCCACTGACCCCCAATGTAAGGGACATTCTTCCCACTGACCACCAATGTAAGGGACATTCTTCCCACTGACCACCAATGTAAGGGACATTCTTCCCACTGACCACCAATGTAAGGGACATTCTTCCCACTGACCACCAATGTAAGGGACATTCTTCCCACTGACCACCAATGTAAGGGACATTCTTCCCACTGACCACCAATGTAAGGGACATTCTTCCCACTGACCCACAATGTAAGGGACATTCTTCCCACTGACCACCAATGTAAGGAGTATTGTTCCCACTGACCACCAATGTAAGGGACATTCTTCCCACTGACCACCAATGTAAGGAGCATTCTTCCCACTGACCACCAATGTAAGGAGCATTCTTCCCACTGACCACCAATGTAAGGAGTATTGTTCCCACTGACCACCAATGTAAGGGACATTCTTCCCACTGATCACCAATGTAAGGGACATTCTTCCCACTGATCACCAATGTAAGGGACATTCTTCCCACTGACCACCAATGTAAGGGACATTCTTCCCACTGACCACCAATGTAAGGAGCATTCTTCCCACTGACCACCAATGTAAGGAGTATTGTTCCCACTGACCACCAATGTAAGGGACATTCTTCCCACTGATCACCAATGTAAGGGACATTCTTCCCACTGACCACCAATATAAGGAACATTCTTAACAATTTTTCTTTATTAAAAAGTCTTGCAAATCAATAAACATAAAATATACAGAATATAAAAAAATAAATATTTATATATATATTTACATCAAAACGAAAATAAACATAGCAAAATCTGCTGTCAGACAAAAGCAAACGTCTCAGAAATGAACTTGACATAATTGGGGAAATAAATCGTACTACCACTCACATCACTACACCAGACATCAAACCTGTGAGGTCAAGAAACCACCCCGCCCCCCTTATGCATGCAGCCCTTCTTCAAAAAAGATCTTAATCAACAAAAACTACGGGAGTGAAGAGAACAGTATAAGGAAAGAGCCCCTCACCCAGAGATGGACAGTTCACCAAAGGCAGGTCTGATATTCCTCCACGCCCTTATCCAGACCGCCCGAGGCTCCCTGCCCTTCTCAAGACCCCGAATCTTCCCAACCTCACCCAGAATATCGTGCACCACCACCTCTACAGGGAGGACTTTCTTCCGGATGGTAATCTGACACCGTGCGTTCCATGTGAAGTAACGAACAACTATACTAACTAGAAAAAGTGTATCCAAATCAAAGTCCCAGCGAGCTGGGAATGCCCCATACACACCCACTCTGCATAACTCATGCGATAGAGAAAGGGGATGCCCAGAACCCTCCCCACCCTTTTATACACCTCTATGTTAAAGGGACACAGGAGCAGAAAGTGGTCCATAGACTCCACTTTACCAACACACTCTGCTCTAGGACAATCCCGATCATCTACAGGGCGGTGCTTCAGGTTCCCTCTCACATAGAGCCTTCCATGGAAAGCGAGCCAGGCTTGATCCCTAAACTTCAAAGGGATTCTCTCCAAGTTAATTAAACACAATCCCTCCCTCATTACGGAGCCTGGGCAATCCTTTAAGGCCAGTGACACACTGAAAGCAAAAGCCAAAATCCTCTCCCCCAGAAGCTTCCTGGGAAGGGACCTGATATCCTCCACTGTCACCTGCCACTGCCGAAGTATTTTCAGACACGGGGCAACATAAGCCGGGAGCTTGCCATGTCGGACTCTCAGACTTTTCACTGGGCCGCCATCTTCCCAGCAATGCAGAAAAGGCCTAAACCAAGACTGAAAAATACCCACCCATCCCGGCGGGGTCTCTGCTAACATATTACCAAGATTGTACTTTATAAAGATCAAAGAAAAGAAAACTATCGGGTTGACCATTCCTAGGCCACCCTCCCGCCTGGACAGGTAAGTTACATTGCGTTTGATCAGGTTCAGCCTATTTCCCCATAACAGTTGGAAAAAACAGCTGTAGACCCTTGCATAGAGAGATACTGGCAAGATACAGACGAAGCTGACATATAAAAAGATCGGGATCAGGTAAGTTTTGATCAAGTCAACCCTCTCTCTCTAGAGGAAAGCCTCCATCTCTTCCAGCTTGCTACTTTGGCATTGGCAACTACCAACCTGCTTTCCCAGTTTTGATGACCATAGTCACCAGGACCAAATTTAATGCCCAAAATTTTAATTTCCTGCTGGGGCTCTGGGAAGGCATCCGGAAGTTCGAAGCTTTCACCCTCCTCACCCATCCAGAAAACTTCACTCTTTTCATGGTTGACTTTAGAGCCAGAAGCCTCAGTGTACTGCTCTATCACAGAGACCACCTCCTGCGCCTCCTCAGTCCCAGAGATAATAACAGACACATCATCAGCATAGGCAACGACCTTCAAAGGCGGCACACCAGCAATGCCCAGAGGCACCCCGCACAACGATGTGCCCTCTAGCCTTCTTACAAAGGGGTCGATTGCGAAAGCATATAGCAGGGGGCTCAAAGGACATCCCTGGCGCACACCAGAGCCAACCTCAAAAGGCCGCCCAACCCAACCATTAACAAGTGGGAAGCTCTCAGCCCCTCTATATAATGTCTGCAGCCAATCTATAAACCTCCCCTGCAGGCCGTATCTACCAAGCAGCAACCACAGATATTCATGATTCACTCGATCAAAATTTTGCCTGATCCAATGCCAGCAAGTACTTTCTCCATCCAGCAGCCCTGCATCGTTCCAAAGCCTCCCGGATAGCCAAAACCGCTGAAAAGGTACTTCTACCTTGGACCGAACAGTGCTGATGGCTGGACAACAAATCGCCTGCTACTGACGACAAGCGCCAAAAAGGAATCTTTGCCAAGATCTTTCTATCAACATTGAGAAGACTGATGGGGCGCCAGTTCTCAATCATTGAGGGGTCTTTACCTTTTGACAGAAGAATCACAGCAGATTGCCTCATGGAGGGAGGGAGCGAACCCTCTTCTAGACAGCTATTAAAAACCTCCGCTAAAAAGGGAGCCAGAATGGACTTAAAACACTTGTAAAATTCAGCTGTCAATCCATCTGGCCCAGGCGATTTTTTGGTAGCCAGCTTGTCTATAGCATGAACTACCTCATCCGCTGAAATTGGTTCTGTCAAATTCATCAAAAGCAATGCACCATTTCCCAATCCTGGAGTAGAATCCAGAAAGCTTTCCGTCCTGTCCCGGCTAAGGTCCTTTCTTCCCAGGAGGTCTGCATAATACGACCCAAAGATCTCCAAGATCCCTGATCTGGACTTTATCAGGGAACCCGTACTGTCTTTCAGGCCAATGACCGTCTTAACTGCTATGCCTTGCTTACAGTTCTGGTAAGGATCAGGTGAGTGATATTTCCTATAATCCCTCTCCAGAACCAAGGAGGCATGCCGGTCGTATTGACACCTCCTAAGAAGAAGCTTCACTTCAGAGATCTCCCCTGGATCTCCTCCATACGAGACAAGACGATCAAGCTTCCTCCGCAAATGCTGGTAGGCAATATACATACCAAGCTGCTGCTTCTTACTTATGGCCTTGAAAAGTCCAATTGCCCTTTGTTTCACAAGCTCCCACCACTCTGACTTACTGCTGCAAAAGTCCAGAATAGAAACCTGTGCCTGAAAAAAATCCTCAAAGGATTGTCTTACCTCTACATCTTCCAGGAGAACAAATTCAGTTTCCAGACACCCCTTCCCCTGGGTGGAGTGTCCAAGGCATTCAGAGTCACAGACAGCATACAGTAGTCAGAGAACTCCACCGCCTTCAACTCAGGAGCCGAGAAAGCAGAGTTCTCCTTTAAAAAAAAACCTGTCTATCCTGCTCTGACTATTCCCTCTCTGAAATGTGAACCCCGTGCTGCCAGGGCAGTGCTTAATGTGCACATCTACCAGGCCTGCCTGTCTAACCAAATCTCTGAGAAAAACGCTATCATAACCCAGCCTGTCTATGGAGCCTCTCCTGTCTTCAAGCCTAATTATGGTGTTAAAGTCACCTCCAAAGACAACCTGCTGGGACGTAAAAAGGAAGCTTGATCTTTGTGAGGAGGCATTTCCTGCCCCATTTTGACTGTGGTCCATAGATATTGATCAGGCGCAGGTCCTGCCCCCTAACAGAGACGTCTAAGACCATGCATCTCCCCATTTCTACCTCAATTACCCGCCGGCACGTTACCATATCGGTTTTAAGAAGGACCGCAACTCCGCTGCAAGGTTCAGCCGCAAGAGACCAAAAGGAGGGACCACATCTCCACTCCCTTTTTGCTAGATAGACATCGGCCAATGTATTGAGCCAGGTCTCTTGCAAAAATAAAATCTCAGCATCAAACTCGCTGAGCAAAAAAAAGGCCGTATCACGAGCTCTTGCAGATATTATGCTGGCGACATTAATGGTCGCCACCTTTAACAGAGTGGGAACTGCCATCAGGATGATTGGGGTAGTCGTTTCTTAACCTCTACCACACTCTCATCACCCGAAACAGCTCTCTTCAGAGTACGTGACTCCCCCTCATCCATAGATGATAGAGAAATGGATATATCAGATACCATCTCATCACCTGACAAAACTGAAAAAGTATTGCCAAGAGGGACCCCTCCTGGATCTGATTCTGAGGAAGAGAGGACAGCTCTTCTCATCCTCTTCTTCTTCTTCTTCTCCTTCACCCTCTCCCACCCTTCATCAGCTGAATCCCCCCCAGCAGGAGGTGAGACATGGGACATGGATACCCCTCCCTGAGCCCCATCGGCTCCACCCCCATCTGGCACCCCCACAACCTCCTGACCACGTTTGCGCTGATGGGGGACAGGTACCGGAGGTGGAGTAGGCCGAGAGGGAAGATCAGCTACACCCGCCCCCCCAGCAGCTTCCGCCAGTCTGGAGGATCTACAATACTGTAGGATTAGGGACAGGGGGGACAGACTCAGGGGTGACATTACTGGGGGAAACACAATCTGACACAACAGACGGAACAGACACAGGAGGTGCAACTACAGTTTCCTCCCTAGCATCAGCTGCCTCATCCTCTTTATCCAGCCTCTGCAGCTCAGCCTCCAGTCCTGGCAGGTTGTGTAGTGCCTCTGGGCACAGACTGTATGGATGACCCATCTGCTGGCACAAATTACACCGAATCTCAGTGCATTCTTTGGCCAAATGGCCAAACTCCTGGCACAGTGAGCACATCTTGATGGTGCAGGACGATGCAAAATGGCCTTTC